TCACTCACTCACACTCTCACTCACTCACACTCTCACTCACTCACTCTCACTTACTCACTCTCACTCACTCACTCACACTCTCACTCACTCACACTCACTCACTCACACTCTCACTCACTCACTCACAGCCCTTTACAGTACCAGCTGAGTCGAGTGTCTCTTGGCAACTGGAACTATATACAGGAACAAATTAAATCATTATATCTTGAGTTCATCTTTGTCTCGTTTAAGTTCACCTCAAGGCCACTAGACCAGACCAGATTTTTCACTCAGTCATAAAAAAGAAGAAAATGCTAAGTTACTGAAGTCTATGCATAACAAAGCCTTGATGAAAGTTAAAATAGGGATTATGTCTCTCATATTGTTGTGTAGAGTGGATGAATGGATAGAGCCACAACAAAAGGGATGAAGGTAAATGGTGTGTGTGTGTGTGTGTGTGTGTGTGTGTGTGTGTGTGTGTGTGTGTGTATGTTGTTGTTGTTGTTTTGCGAGTCATGGGAGTGTAATAAACAGGCTGGTTCAGGTGTTCATTGACTCGCTCATTACAGGTATTTTAATGATGTGTTTCAATGTGGAAGTATGATTGCAAAGTCCTCATTAGTTTGTGAGGTATAATGGTTGTTGGTGCCGACTATAATATAGTTAATGGGAGGGTTTTAACTGATCAGTGACGTCATCAATGTCGTCATATCTACGTGGGCTGTAATCAGTGACGTCATCAATGTAGTCACATCTATTTGGGCTGTGATCCTTGACGTGTGTATCAGTGACACTTGACCTTTTGTACAGAGCGGTGTTGCCACGCCCTAACCCACCTGGCCCACCATGGAGAGAAAGGGAGGGGGAGCTGGGCCATGGGGGGGGGGAGAGAACAGGGCCATGGCTTATAGAGTACACATGTCTGTCTCTGCTCCACTCTGAAACAATAACTAACTCTACCTTTACCTGACCATTTAATTACCAATCGTATAAATGTGAATTATTGAGAATTTCCTCTAATGACGTCATCACCGCCAGCCCTGTGACGTGAGAAGGTTGTCAAAGAGTTATTTTTACATCTTCTTCTTCTTCTTCTTCTTCTCCTTATTCTTCTTCTTCTCCTTCTCCTTCTTCTTCTTCTTCTTCTTCTTCTTCTTCTTCTTCTTCTTCTTCTTCCTTCTGTAGAGTCATCAATAACCTTACAAAGATCTCTACTGGGGGTTGTAGTGAGACAATGGAGGATATAATGAGATAGGAGACGTCTCTGTCACTGCCCTGGATATAACAACAGATAACAACAACAATAACAGAAGACCGAGGGGGGGGGGGAGCGAGGAGATGAAATCGATAAGTTTTAAGCACCAGTAACACTCGGTGGGAGGGGAGGAGGAGGTGGGGAGGAGGAGGAGGTGGAGGAGGAGGAGGAGGGAGGTGGAGGGGGAGGAGGAGGATGAGGAAGAGGAGGAGGTGGAGGAAGAGGAGGAGGAAGAGGAGGAGGTGGAGGAAGAGGGGTTTAAGTACCAGTAATAACCAGGCTGGCAGTCCTTACCTCCACTTATATTACCCCCGCTGCTGGAGGAGGAGGAAGAAGAAGAAGACATAAATAGAAGAGAGGAGAAGACAAATGAAAAGGAGGGAGAGGAGAAGAAGAGGCGAATGGAGAATTGTAAAAGACTTAAGAAACCAATAGATTAACATGTTGGAAGACGGATAAAGAGGAATGGGGAGAGAAGAGGATAAGTGAGAGGGGGAAGAAGAGAGAGTAAAGGGAGATAGATAAAGAACAAGGGGTATAGAGAAGACTGAGAGAAGTAATAAGATAAATATAAAGTTCCTTTGAGTCCTCCAGGATGTGTGTGTGGTGGCTCATGGGATAAAGTTCTCGTCTCCTGTTCTAAGAGTCAACAACTGGTTCGATATCTGAGGTGTTATCGTGTACCTGATTTTATAGTTGGGGGAGTGAAGATCGTCAGGTACACTGCCGGCCACCCACACCCACACACCACCACTACTACCCAGGGTAAGATGAGACCAGCAGTGTCTCCCCCTGGTGAGCCCATCGTCCTCAGCAACAGTTAACTTCACGGTAATTCTTGAACTTTTCTCATTCACCAAACTTTTTTTTTTCCTGCCAAATTCTGTCAAGCCCTCGTGACTGCCGCTGCTTGGTGACAAAAATGACAGAGTTTGTGTAATCTCCTCGACGCACATATGTAGCATAATACTCTTGAGCATTATTGTAATAGTAATTTCTTCAACACAGCTTAATTATTATCACAGTTCATTTCACGTCACACAGGAGGTGATATAGTGTGAGGGTTTGTGGTGTGATGGTTGACACGCTGGAAAGAAGGTCAGATATGTGAGGGTTTGTGGTGTGATGGTTGACACGCTGGAAAGAAGGTCAGATATGTACCACGTTGGTCAGATATGTACCACGTTGGTCAGATATGTACCACGTTGGTCAGATATGTACCACGTTGGTCAGATATGTACCACGTTGGTCAGATATGCACCAAACTGGCTACTGTGAAGCAAGTCGACGACCATCACAGTGAAGAGTGGCTCCCAGTACACAGTGAGGCAGTGTAGTAGGCACTGTACTCGACCACCTTCACATCCCCAACTGTAATGTTAGAATGGAGGTGCTACTAGGATCGAACCGGTGACTCGTAGGACAAGAGGTGAACGCCTTAGCCACTCCACCACCTCAGACTATGAAGGATGGGGGTTACAGTTCTCACTTCAATTTAATCATTTATTTAAAAGACTTGACGGACAATTATCCAATTATTACCACAATTTGGGTGTTGGGTGGGAAGACGAACCGTGTGTGTGTGTGTGTGATAGAAGGACCAAGTCAGAATAAACGTAACCCAAAAGAGAACATGATGGACAACACAAAACAAAATTATAAACACAAGAATGACTAAAGCAACACAAGTAAAAGCTACAGAACGAGTCTTGCAACATTAGCAACACCGTCAGCAACATGAACAATTATTGCACGTTGGTGGAATACTAAAGAGGCAAGACACTTGACAAATGCTATGCAAAACTACCCAGACTGTTGCGTAAAGGAGGAAGTCGTGTGGGAAATTACTTGGGTTAATGATAAGGTTAATGACAAGAAGTTAATGACAGAAGGTTAATGTTAAGGTTAATGACAGGAGGTTAATGTTAAGGTTAATGACAGAAGGTTAAGGTTAATGACAGAAGGTTAATGACAGGAGGTTAATGTTAAGGTTAATGACATGAGGTTAATGTTAAGGTTAATGACAGAAGGTTAATGTTAAGGTTAATGACAGAAGGTTAAGGTTAATGATAGGAGGTTAATGTTAAGGTTAATGACAGGAGATTAATGTTAAGGTTAATGACAGGAGGTTAATGACAGAAGGTTAATGTTAAGGTTAATGACAGGAGGTTAATGTTAAGGTTAATGACAGGAGGTTAATGTTAAGGTTAATGACAGAAGGTTAATGTTAAGGTTAATGACAGGAGGTTAATGTTAAGGTTAATGACAGGAGGTTAATGTTAAGGTTAATGACAGGAGGTTAATGTTAAGGTTAATGACAGGAGGTTAATGACAGAAGGTTAATGTTAAGGTTAATGACAGGAGGTTAATGTTAAGGTTAATGACAGAAGGTTAATGTTAAGGTTAATGACAGAAGGTTAATGTTAAGGTTAATGACAGGAGGTTAATGACAGAATTAATATATAGGAATAAATGTAAGGAAACATACTGAAGAAAATAGCAATGAGAGAGAGAGAGAGTGAGGAGGAAGGAAGGGAGAGGAAGAATGAGAAGGGAGGGGTGACCGAGGGACCCGACCACCACACTAACAAGCGGGTGTTGCCAACTAGTACACCAAACTACCTGCTTCCTCCTCATTGTTCTTAATACCACTGTGATGGCCTCTTTCCGCCCCTCCTTCACCACCCCAGCTGCTAGGTCATGTTGCTAGCCTGTCTTGCTGTGCCGTGTTGCAACAGTGGCGACCATTGGCTGTGTCGTATTGCAAGCTGGGTTGGGTTGTGTGATGTGGTGTTGATTGTGGTGTTGCTCTGCTGTGTTGGTGTGGTGTTGCTGTGGTCTGTTGGTGTTATGTTGCTCTTGTGTTGCTATGATGTTGCTGTGGTGTATACTGTGATGTGGTACTGTGGTGTATTGCTGTTATGGTGCTATCATGTTAGAGACACTATATAAATTACTACTATCATGGTAATAATAGTAAACTTATCAATAATCACCTCGTTAATTATACCAGACAACAATCACTCTTCCTGCTTAATGTGGAATAAGACAATTGTCCGTATTGAATAGTTATAATCAGCCTTATTGCGTCGTGGTTACAGAGCCCCCACGTGTTGACACAGCCTAGAGTCGAGAGAAACACCGAAGAGAGAGAGAGAGAGAGAGAGAGAGAGAGAAGGTTAATGGGATATAATCAAAATGTATAACCACATCCCAACCATCCACCCACCTACGCCTCCACCCGCGCCTCACTGCCAAACCCACGCCCCTCTGCTCCACCCACCCACGCCCCTCTGCTCCACCCACCCACGCCCCTCTGCTCCACCCACCTTGTAAGCTTTAACCCAACCAATCCTTATAGCCAAACTCATTACATATTAATTAATCCTTTACCACTGGCCAACTCACCTGCCGGGCGAAAACTAAACAACCAATTAGTGTGATCCTGCCGCCCTTACGGGTTTTTTGATTGCTTTGAGCTTGAGGGTGTGTGTGCGTGTGGTAATTTGTACCTTTGCCACACAGTCAGAAACACCTCCTGTATATAGTTAGAGTCCACAACCTAACCTGACCTGACCTAACCTAACCTAACCTAACCTGACCTGACCTAACCTAACCTAATCTAATTAAGTAATATATAACAACAGTGGCTAAAATATGTCTTGTTCTTCTTCTTGTTATATACTGTTTAATATACCTGATATATTTCGTTACACCTTCTAATATTGATGTAGACGTCTAATGCGGTGTCTCTCTCTCTTTGCAGGTGACTACAACACTCCTCACAGTGTCTTGTGGTAAGGTCGGGGTCCATTTGGGACTTGGTTCATAGTGGCTCGAGGCTTCGGGGAGCAGAACTGCTAATTAAACGGATCTTGTCCACGTGTCAGCCTTCCTCGGGTCGCTGAAGTGTGGTCCGTTTACTAACTTGGTGCCTCACTCGATGTCACCCGTCAGGGGAGAGACAGTTTGCCACTTCTGTCAGCCGTCAGTTTGACAGTTCTGCAAGCGACTGCAAACCTCCCAAGATGTCAACCGTCAGGAGGCAGTTGGCCAGTTCCATCAGCCACCGTAAATGTCAGTTATTAGTTTACCACTGACTCACTGGAGGAGGTAAGGGGGAGGGGGGAGGTATAGGACTGGTGATGGGTGAAAGTGGGGAAGAAACAGTACGGTGAATGGAGGAGGGAAGGGAATCTCAACACACAAATATTATCCCTCCCTCCCTCGCTCCCTCCCTCCCTCGTTCCTCCCTCCTTCCCTCCCTCCCTCGATCCTCCTCCCTCCCTCCCTCCTCCCTCCCTCCCTCGCTCCCTCTTTCGCTCCCTCCCTCCCTCCTCCCTCCTCCCTCCTCCCTCGCTCCCTCCCTCGCTCCCTCCCTCCCTCGCTCCCTCCCTCCTCCTTCCCTCCCTCGCTCCCTCCCCCTCGCTCCCTCGCTCCCTCCCTCCCTCCCTCCCTCCCTCGCTCCCTCCCTCCTCCCTCCCTCCCTCCCTCCCTCGCTCCTCGCTCCCTCGCTCCCTCCCCTCCCTCCCTCGCTCCCTCCCTCGATCCTCCCCTCGCTCCCTCTCCCTCGCTCCCTCCCTCCCTCCCCCTCCCTCCCTCCCTCCTCCCTCCCTCTCTCTCCTCGCTCCCCTCCCTCGCCGCCCTCGCTCGCTCCCTCCCTCCCTCGATCCCTCCCTCCCTCCTCCCTCGATCCCTCGATCCCTCCCTCCTCCCTCCTCCCTCCTCCCTCCCCTCCCTCCCTCCCTCGCTCTCCCTCCCTCCCTCCTCCCTCCCTCCTCCCTCGCTCCCTCCCTCCCTCCTCCCTCCCCCCTCCCTCCCTCCCTCCCTCCCTCCCTCCCTCCCTCCCTCCCTCCCTCCTCCCTCCCTCCCTCCCTCGCTCCCTCCCTCCCTCGCTCCCTCCCTCCCTCCCTCCCTCCCTCTCCCTCCCTCCTCCCTCCCCTCCCTCCTCCTCCCTCCTCCCTCCTCCTCCCTCCCTCCTCGCTCCCTCCCTCCCTCCCTCGCTCCTCCCTCCCTCCCTCCCTCCTCCTCCTCCCTCCTCCCTCGCTCCTCCCTCCCTCCCTCCCTCCCTCGCTCCTCCTCCCCTCCCTCCCTCCCTCGCTCCCTCCCTCGCTCCCTCCCTCCCTCTGCCATCACGTGGGTCCTGCCTTTATAAACATGGTCGGTGTGGAATTCTGTTTTATGTTTTGGTCTTCAGGAGGAGTGTAGGTAGTGCGTGAGGACCGTGAAGAACGTTGACACCACTGATGGGGGGGGGCTATAACGAGTATTGGTGGTTAATGATGAAACTAACACTAATGTCTACTCTTTTACTGGGTATATTTACAGTGCGTCCATCTGTCTTAACATTGCTAAACTCTCCTAAAATAACGCCTTTGTGTATATGTCGAGTAAATAAACACTTAGACACAGTTGTAAAGAGCCATTTATATGGTGATTACGAGGAACAAGTTGTGTTGGCGCCCTGGCCAGAGAGAAGCACCCTCGTCTCACACCCCCAGCCAACAGGACGCTCCTTTGTGTAAACATGAACACCATTCTCCCTGATGTTGCAGAAGCCGGAGTCTCTCTCTCTCTTTCTCTCTCTCTCTCTCTCTCACTCTCACTACCCTGACTGAGAGTAATCCTTCCTTCCCTTTACAAGTTTCGGATTACGTGAAGATTAACCCCCAGATTATTTCACCTAAAAATTAACTACCCTAACTAACCTAACCTAACCAACCTAACCTAACCTTACCTTACCTAACCTTACCTAGCCCGAATGGTTAATCTCCAGGTGAAATAAGAGAGGGTAGGAGGAGGAGGAGGGAGGCTGATCTCCAGGTGATACCAAAATTCCTCCTTTCCACAACGGCAGATACTTTCTCAAAGGATTTCCAACAGTTTCCAACATTCTGGTTTCTGCCAATATCCTCCTTCAGCCGACTGCTTACTGCTTGGAAAATATCGAGAACAGATAAGTATGTTTAAAAAAAAACGAGTGGGAACAGCGCTCATAATCTACTAACACACGTACAGTTGGCTATTTGGCCCGGCTCGTAAAACTGACTGGAACAATTTAGCCAATCCTCTAACGCATATTCCCTTCCCTGACTGACACTTAAATTTGGAGGGAAAGAGGAAATATTAAGAGATTATGGGGAAAAAAGGTTATCAACACTCGCTAGACAACATCACCATCACCACCACTATCACCACCATCACCACCAACATCACCATCACCACCACTATCACCACCATCACCACCAACATCACCATCACCACCACTATCACCACCATCACCACCAACATCACCATCACCACCAACATCACCATCACCACCACTTCGTTCCGTTTCCTCTCCTCATTCTCTACACCTTCTTTCCTCCGTTCATTCTATACACTTTTCCTATCACCATATATTTTCCCCCACTGTTCCTCCTTTGTTTTCCTCGTCCGTTCTTTTTCCCTCTCTTCCTCTTCCCTGATCACATCTCTCTTACCCTGTTCGCCTTTTTTCTTATTTTCCTTTTATTGTTCTTCATTTATCTATGTCTCTTTATTCTCCACCTTCTTATCTTTCTTTCTCCCTACTCGCTTGTCTCTTGTCTTATTTCCCGTATTATCATCTTCCTCGTGTCTTCGTTTTCCATTCTCCTCCTCCTCCTCCTCCTCCACTATCAGACACTTGCCTCGGTGCCAACAAGAGACGGTCGACCAACACCCGAGCTCCCACTTTAACACCAACACTCCTTCCTCCTTTCATTCCTTGCTTCCTTCCTCCCTCCCTTCCCTCCCGTCCTCCCTTCCCCGGTGTGAGACCTCGACACCCCTCCTCCCTCCCTTCCCCGGTGTGAGACCTCGACACCCCTCCTCCCTCCCTTCCTTCCTTCCTCCCTTCCCCGGTGTGAGACCTCGACACCCCTCCTCCCTCCCTTCCTTCCTTCCTCCCTTCCCGGTGTGAGACCTCGACACCCTCCTTCCTTCCTCCTCCTCCCTTCCCTCCCGTCCTCCCTTCCCCGGTGTGAGACCTCGACACCCCTCCTCCCTCCCTTCCTTCCTCCCTTCCCCGGTGTGAGACCTCGACACCCCCTCCCTCCCTCATACGGAGTACTGGGGAGGTACAGCGCCTCACCTTCATCGTTTTCAAAAGAGTTTCACAGGAGCCTTCACCAGCCTTGTCTCTCCTCCCTCGCTGTGTATTGTGTAATCTTTGAGAGAAGATCATCCTTTAGTTGTAGGTCTTACATGCCCTGTGGTAGTGTGTGTGTTCTGCCGTCCTTCGTGTCGTGTCCTTACCCTAAAGCGTCCTTACCTCGTCTCACCCACCCCCACCCCAGACCAAAACACCAACATTGTCGACTTTAACAGAAGGAAACAAACTCGAGTAACATTATAACTCCCTAAACAATTGTCCGGAGGAACTGTATGTTTACACCTTCCACACTTCTGGTCCTGGGAGAAAACTCAGTGTTATCCGGTCATCATGATACTGAGTGCCACCCTGGACGGTACTCTGATACTGAGTGCCACCCTGGACGGTACTCTGATACTGAGTGCCACCCTGGACGGTACTCTGATACTGAGTGCCACCCTGGACGGTACTCTGATACTGAGTGCCACCCTGGAGGTACTCTGATACTGAGTGCCACCCTGGACGGTACTCTGATACTGAGTGCCACCCTGGACGGTACTCTGATACTGAGTGCCACCCTGGACGGTACTCTGATACTGAGTGCCACCCTGGACGGTACAGTACTGTGTTATTCTGTGCTCATCTTAAAGGAGATCTTTCCCTTGAACACAATCAGTCAGACACAACACCATCACCTCGGCCAGTCGACAGCCAGAGCCAATGAACAACTAGTAAGGAAAGTGACACCTGTGTTGTGTACTGAAACATCGGTACGTACGGAGGCAGCTTAACTGGCACTACACTCGACTGCCTTCACTTCCCCAATTGTAAAGTAAGGTGTTCATTTACAGCTGGTCAGTCTGGGAGGCCTCGGTATCGAACAAGTGAATCTTAGGACAGGAGGCGAGCGCCGTATCCATTTGGTCACCCGTATGTCGTGTTGATTCATAAAGAAGTAAAGAGTTGTCTCATTCCTGTTGGCTCCTGTTCAGTATATCACAACTTCACTACTTCACTACTCCACTACGTCACTAGTTCATTACTTCACTACTCCACTGCGCCACTAGTTTGTTACTTCACTACTCCACTGCGCCACTAGTTCATTACTTCACTACTAGTAACATCATCTCCATTACTTCAATCAAATCTATCACACCAGTCTAACAATCTGTCAACTACACCACAACACACACCAGTCCACACAGAGGGCAGCACTGACGTTGGCTGCCACAGTGTTCAGTGCTCAGCTCTTATAATGTGTTATCGCGGTGTTTGTGTGGCGGCTGTGGTGCTGTGGTTGAGACTAGTGGTGCAGGAACATTCAGTGACCAGCTGTGTAAAGTGCGGTGTTTATAGCTAGTGTTAGTGATCAGTGACGAGAGAATCTTGTACAGTTTCCTCTTGAATAATCACGTCCGGAACCGATTTTTGTGTATGCCCGTTTTACTCGGACATTCATGACCCTTATGGATACAGTGATCTAAGGTCCAAATGGCTCCTTTTCACCAGTTGATATGAGAGCCCAGACTTTGTTGACATTCCTGGCTTTAACTATGTAACTACCACTAGTTACCTCATTCGTCCGTTACTCGTTGGGCGACACAGAGGCAACACTGTGTGGGTGTATTGTTGGCGGTGTACTAGTGTGTGTGCTGTACAGTAGGTGTAGATACGCGTACCTCTCGAGCTTCCCTGTACAGTACCTGCCTCGCCCCGGACAAGAGTCTTCGCGGTACTGGGCGAGTCACAGCTCACCTGCTGAGTCGCTACCCCTGACTATCTGCTCTAGAATATCTTCACCTCCAGGGATCAGTTGACTTTACTGAAGAAGTGGCCACAGTGGCAGTTGTCGGTGAGGTGTTCGTCTTCTCCGTCAACAGGTAAACCCCCACAACTTCTCCACGTCCTCCTCCACCTCCTCCTTCACGTCCTCCTCCACAACCTCTCAGGGACTTCCTGCCTCTGTCGGCTATACAACACTCAGGGCTACACTATGCCT